ACAACTTCTTTTTCTTCTGACAAACACATCTCTTCCAATTTGTTATTAATTAATGTTACCATCAGTTGTCGTGCTTCTCGTTTTACTTGTTCCATCACATGAATTCATTGTCCTAGTTGTACAGTTATTCTATTTTTATTTTAGATAATAGTTAAATTAACATTTTACTTACATTATGTGTATAGTGTATCTAACACATCATATGGTTTATTTATAGTAACAAATAACTAATCGGTTTTTATTCGAGAATTGATTGAAATGAGGTGGTGAGGTTTTTTCCACTTCTATTCATCGATTTTTCTTGACCTTAATAGTTTTACCTAGACTATAACAACAACAACAACAACAACAACAACAACAACAACTACTACTACTACTACTATGATTGTGTAACAGTTAGAGAGACTAGGGAGAAATCTCTTAATTGTATTGATTATCTCAGACTTAACCAAATATAAAAATGTTCACAGGAACCGGTTCATACACTAGTTATGTGTGTGTTCACATCACTGTTTAGGTAGTTGTTCGACTACGTTTACTAATATTTAACTGTTATTTGACAGTGAAATTTAAAAATGAACATATATAAGGCAAGTGAATGAGATGAAATCATCCAGTTTGAATATAAGTAATTGTCCATTTGCTACTGAATACCAGAATGTATAATGAACAAAAGTTCAAACAAAATATTCAAAAGACCGTCATCAAAACAGTTTTTCTATTTGTAATATGAGGTTTTTGGTACAATTAGTAGACTTACTTACTTACTTATTTAGGCCTATTACTCCCAATGGAGCGTAGGCCGCCGACCAGCATTCTCCAACCCACTCTTTCCTGGGCCTTCTTTTCTAGTTCCATCCAGTTCTTGTCCATTTTTCTCATGTCTATCTCCATTTCCCGGCGTAATGTGTTCTTTGGTCTTCCTCTCTTCCATCGGCCTTCAGGATTCCATGTGAGGGCTTGTCTTGTGACGCAGTTGGGTGTTTTCCTCAATGTGTGTCCTATCCACTTCCAGCGTTTCTTCCTGATTTCTTCCTCCACTGGGATCTGATTTGTTCTCTCCCACAGTAGGTTGTTGCTTATAGTGTCCGGCCAGCGGATCTGAAGTATTTTGCGTAGACAACTGTTAATAAACACCTGTATCTTTTGGACGATGGATTTCGTAGTTTTCCAGGTTTCCGCCCCATACAGTAGAACTGTTTTGACATTTGTATTGAAAATTCTGACTTTGGTGTTGGTTGCCAATTGTTTTGAGTTGCAGATGTTCTTCAGTTGTAAATATGCTTCTCTTGCTTTACCGATCCGTGCCTTCACATCTGCATCAGATCCACCGTGTTCATCGATGATACTGCCCAAATATGTAAAGGTTTTTACATCTTCCAAGGCTTCTCCGTCAATTGTGATTGGATTGTTGTATGCTGTGTTGTATCGGAGAATCTTGCTTTTCCCTTTGTGTATATTGAGACCTATTGCTGCTGAGGCTGCAGCTACACTGGTTGTCTTCTCCTGCATTTGTTGTTGCGTATGCGATAGAAGAGCCAGATCATCTGCGAAGTCTAGATCGTTCAGCTGCATCCTAGCTATCCACTGTATCCCGTGATTCCCTTCAGATGTTGATGTCTTCATGATCCAGTCGATCACCAGGAGAAAGAGAAAGGGTGAGAGTAAGCAACCTTGCCTGACACCGGTCTTTACTTCGAACGACTTTGTCAACTGTCCTCCATGCACGATTTTGCAGTTTAATCCATCATAGGAATTCTGTATGATATTGACTATCTTCTGAGGCACGCCGTAGTGTCGAAGAAGCTTCCATAGGGTTGTTCTGTCCACGCTATCAAATGCTTTTTCGTAGTCGATGAAGTTGATATAGAGTGATGAATTCCATTCAATTGATTGTTCCACAATGATCCGTAGAGTTGAGATTCGGCCTGTACACGATCTATCCTTACGGAATCCTGCCTGTTGGTCTCGAAGTTGGGCGCCTACGGAGTCCTTCATCCTGTTTAACAATACCCTGTTGAAGACTTTTCCTGGTATTGAAAGAAGAGTGATTCCCCTGTAGTTGTCACAGTTGCTGAGATCGCCTTTCTTTGGTATTTTGACTAGAAGTCCTTCTTTCCAGTGTTTTGGTACCTGTTCCTCATCCCAGATCTTTCTGAAGAGAGTTTGGAGTATCCTTGCAGTTGCCGCTACGTCTGCTTTCAGTGCCTCTGCTGGAATGCTGTCTAGTCCTGCTGCTTTGCCACTCTTGATTTGTCTGATAGCCATGCTGATTTCTTCAATTGTCGGTGCGCCAACATCAATTGGGAGGTCCGTGAGTGCTGCTTCGATGTTGGGTGGGTTCAGTGGGGCTGGTCGATTCAAGAGTTCTTTGAAGTGTTCTACCCACCTGTTTCGTTGTTCTTCAATGTTTGTGATTATCTTGCCTTCCTTGTTTTTCACTGGTCGTTCTGGTTTACGGTGATTTCCAGAGAGTTTCTTTGTTGTGTCATACAGTTGTATCATGTTTCCTTCCCTGGCAGCCTTTTCCGCCGTCAATTCCAAATCTTCCACATATTTACGTTTGTCAGTTCTGATGCTCCTTTTCACTTGCTTGTTTACTTCTGTGTATTCAGCCTGTGCCTTGGCTTTTTCGGCTGGTATTGATTGCTGCCTTCTTGTTCCTCCTTTCTTGAATTTTATCCAGTGTATCGACCGTGATCCAATCCTTGTGATGGTGCTGCTTTTGGCCCAGAACCTCATGACATGTTGAAGTGATTGCCTCTTTTATCTCTTTCCAGTTGCTCTCCATAGTAGTTCCTTCTCCATTGAGTAGATCATGAAAGGCCTGGAACTTATTGTTGAGGGTTATCTTGAATTTGTTGAGTTTGTCATTATCCCAAAGAAGAGCCGTATTAAATTTTTGCGATATTGTCCTCCCCGTTGTCCAGTGCCTCTTGAGTTTCAATTTCATCTTGGCGACCAGCAAGTGATGATCTGATGCTATATCAGCTCCTCTCTTTGTTCTCACATCCTCCATCGTCCTCCTGAACTTTTTGTTGATGCAGATATGGTCGATTTGGTTCTCTGTGCTGTGATCCGGTGAAGTCCATGTGGTTTTGTGTATGCGTTTATGTGGGAATATAGTCCGCCTATGACCAGTTTATTGAAGGCACATAGATTTGCAAATCTCTCACCATTTTCTTTCCTTTCTCCCAGTCCGTGTCGTCCCATGATCTCTTCATATCCGGTGTTGTCAATTCCAACCTTGGCATTTAGGTCTCCCATCAGAATGGTCAGGTCCTTTGTTGGGCACTTCTCGACGATTGACTGCAGCCTATCGTAGAATTGACCTTTAGCGTCTTCATTGTAGTCATTGGTAGGCGCATAGCATTGAATGAAGTTCATTGTAATCCCCTTTTTCTTTGTTTTGAAGGAGGCTTTGATGATCCTTGGTTCATGAGATTCCCATCCTATAAGTGCATTTTGTGCTTGTTTGGACAGCATCAATGCAACTCCTTGTGTATGTGGAGCATTTTCTTGTTCATGTCCGGAGTATAACAGCAGCTCCCCTGAAGCTAGTCGTTGTTTTCCAACTTGCGTCCAATGTGTTTCACTGATCCCAAGCACCTCTAGGTTGTATCTCCTCATTTCTGCAGCAATTTGGAAAACTCTCCCAGTCTCCCACATTGTACGAGCATTCCATGTACCTAAATAAATGGTTGGTCTGGTTGTCAGAAAGGGCATGGACCCCGTGACTTCCGAAGGAACTCGGCTTTCGTCATGAGGCGTCATGATTCTTCTAAACGAAGACCTCCTGACTCCCAGGGCAGAGTTTAAATGGTTTGAAGAACCCCACACTAAACAGAATGATACTATCGGAAGTAAAACAGAAAAAAAAGGAAGTCACCCGAGCAATAAATTAATGAACGTCTAAAATGTACAACTAAGTAAAGTTTACTTATACTAACTAGGTTCCTCTAACTTTTATAAATAAATCATACCAGGATCTTTATTAGATTCTGTTCTGAACCATGTCTGATAACTTCCTATGCCAACCGATTTCGTGATCTCTATGAATCCACCCATTTAGTCAGTAGTCACGTACAACTATCGTTCATTTCATAACACACTGACATAAATTGATCACCTCCTTTCTTTTCTACCCTATCATCGGGAAAAAATGACTAGTGGAAAAGCCGTTGGATTTGTATTCGTAAAATATGTTCATGTCGTTTAAGCTGGCGTTACATGATCGTCAAACCAACTTTACTACCATTACACCTAAAAATATTACTTGATCCCAAAATTATTTAAAGTGTTGCAACTTTTCATGGACAGGGATTATCAGAGTTTTCAAGTCGAAAAGATCAAGTTTAACAAAGATGGAAGGCGATTACTCTTCTCGACACATATTCAACCCTTAACTGTCAGAATGCCTCCATACGTACAGAAACGGAAAATAGGATACTAGGGTGGTGGGTACAAACGACCGACTTAAGAGAGTTTTAAAACCCTGATTTCTAACTACATAGTCTTTAGAATCCGAAGTGGGCAAATATCGTACTTCTATCATCAGCTACCAGAAAATTTCATTTGATCTCCAAACACTAGCTTTCGGATCATATCTTTTAGTCAATAAGTGATGAGATTAAAATTTGCCTAACTTTTAAAGGTTTAACAATTTCAATGGTTGAGATCGTGAGTCATTTGAAGCTAGACCACCATGGAAAACCTGGAAGCGCTGAACGGCTTTCCATGGTGGTCTAGCTTCAACTGACACATGATCTTAACCATTAAAAATACTATAATATCCACAAAACCCCTGATGTTTAACAATTACATCACTAATACGGCATATCGATTAGTATTTTACCCTTCTATTTACATTTTTATTGAATCATATTTTTAATTCTATTTAACTTCGGTACGTGAAAAAAACCTTAACTAAACAATGTTAATATTTTTCCCGTATATTTCGTTCATTTATTTCTTTACTCTAATTGAAATAAATCTTTTAGAATGCCAGTTGTCTACTTCTCCTGAATTACCACGTCATAGTGTGACTTGTACACCCATGTTTTCTACATCTTTCCACCAATCTGATCGGTCTATTGATCAAAGTACACCAGTGAAGCGGACTCCAGCATCTTTCCAAACTAGAAACCCTTATCCACCCGTTGACAATGTCAATTCATTACTACAAAAATCAAATTTATTTGCAGTCCAATCGGATAACGTGAAACCGAGTTATCCTGTTGCTTCGTGTCTTTCTAATTTCTTAGAGGTACATACAGACACTTCACCTCCAGCAACACCAAATGCAATGAATGGATATCTAGAAATCGTCCAGTAAGCTAACCTTATTTGATTTTATACCTTGTCATAAGTATCATTACAAATAAATGAGCTTAGAATGATTTATCTAGAAACGCGAAATTCGATGGTGATGTAATACCAAGTGTGATCAAGAAAATTTAGATTAGTTTATCATCCTGTGCTGGATCTTAAAGCTTATCTAACTGGATGGCTTGTTTTCTTAGTTCTTGTGTGTTTCATTTCTTTGTACCTCTTTAAACCAAGATTTTCAAGCTGAACTAGTGAATGTACTATAAATATCTTCCTTCATCTTTAACAACTATGCCACGATCTACACTGAGATGCATTCCAAGTTCACTACAATCAGTTTCAGCTTTTTATTTCTGCGTTCTGTTCACATTTAATTGATTTTTTTGGCTTTGAACACAAATCTGTCAAACAGATTGTCTACTTTATATATGTAAATTATATTTGAAACAATCTCAGTGACTGAAATTTAAATAATTCCAACGTTTCGTCCAGCTAACTTGTCTGGACTTCTTCAGGCTCCAGACAAGTTAGCTGGACGAAACGTTGGAATTATTTAAATTTCAGTCACTGAGATTGTTTCAAATATAATTTACATACATAATGACTTCTCTATACTCGGCGCCCAACATCTGTCAAACCATTCGTTTTAATCTTGACGAATATTCGTATAAGATTGTCTACTGTTTAATATTTAATACCCCAAATTACGTTCATTAATTTCAGGTACAATAAGTTCTAGACTTCATTCATCGGTAAAAATAATATTACCTGTTTATCCAAACTAAATTTGGATAAGGATGGGAGTGAAATCAATAATCCATTATCTGAAATTCATACATTTTACCCACTACAATTGTGTTTTTTGTCGTGACGTAAATCAGTTTGCTCACAACTGTCATATTCCTTTCCTGAAACAGCAGGCATTTAGTAAATGTACCAACTTAATGTTTTAGATGGTTATTGTCATCTGATTCAGTCATGTTATCGACCTATGTTGCGCTCTTTTCTATTATATTATATCAAAGTCTTAAAAGTATTCTGGTTTATTATTTTCCTATAAAAGTCTATGTAAATTGTTGAGTTTTGTAGTTTCTCCTCCTAGACTAACCTTATTTAGATAACCACTATAAACCAGGAAGCACTGGACATCTGCTTCATTCTAGTATAGAACTTTTCTGGAGTCCACATACATGATCACGTTAGTAATCGAAGCCAGAGCTTCCGAACCTCATGTCCAACTCCTTCATCCGAATGTTAGGCTCTCGCCACAAAACCTGAAGGCTCTTGGTTCTATCTTTTGTGTGGCTATGGATGTGCACTACTGAGCAGTCCAGCGCGTTTTTAGTTTTCACTAGTCATCTAACTAAAGTCGATCCATGATGTCGCAGTATCCTGAATGATTTATTTCCCTATAAGGAATTATTACTAAATTACTGCAGATTTTTTGTTTCATAATATGTATATTAGATAACGAGATTCGAAATGCTATCATTAGACTACTGTGTTGAGATTTATTTTTTCAGATTTTTCAACATCAATTAATTTACAACATATCTTTGCCACAATATATTTTCATAAATGGATATGTATCCTTACTTACAACTTGGTTGCAACTTCACCTTAAGGCAGTTAGTTAAATATCATGGATCCCCAAATGCCGTGGTACGGCCGAGGGTGGGGAGTCAGCTCTCCCTCTCGAAATGCTTTCATATGGCCACACGTATACAGCCACTGCCGGGGAAGTCCTACTCACTGCCTTCTCGTGGCATTGCTGTTGTTTACAAAATTGAGAGGACGGAAAGTGAATGTCCGGTGCTTTAACCACGTTAGTGGACACAGAGAGTCCACCTAGGGGAGTTGGGGAACCCCCATTCCAAACCAATAGTGCACATGGGCTCCAGTATCTTGAAGGAAGAAATGGTGTATAAACCAATCGTTGGTCACCGGCTACAATGGGACTGCATCTCCTGACGTTGATCCACTGCCTTGTGGATCAGACGATTAGGTCTAAGGCTTCGGGTGTTGGCCCCTAATAAAACCACCTGCTTTAGTCTGGTCACCCGGTCAGTATCCCAGCCCTCACACAAATCAAGTGACTTATCTGGCGCATATGTATTCGGTGCCCCTTTGTACCAATATTTATGTGTTCAAATAAAATAACTAAAATATCATGGTTACTGAAAAACCCCAAGATCTTGTACCTAAATGTATCATTGAGTTAAACATATCCACTAGTTAATAGTTACCAAACACTTCAATATCATTTCGTTTACTATCGTTCTATATATATATTCTAAATTAATTTAGTTAATTGTATTAAAAATGACCTGTAGAATAGATAGTTCAATAGAATTGTTTATAATGTTCTAGTACATTTATTTGTCTTTATGGATCGAATTTATACTGAAACCTTTTTTTTGGAACCTAATATCTGTTCAATTGACTTTTACTTCTAATTCTGAACTATAGAGAAAAATCGATTAAATCCTATAATGTTTCGAGTAAAGAAACTCATTTATTTTGAATAGAAGATACAATCAATGGAGATTAAAAGAATAAAAAAAATTCCCATCATCTTTGTAATATGATCATGTTCTATGTAGATTAATTTTCATTGGTTATTGTATTCTAAATTTTCATTGGTTAATTATTTTTTATTTATTAGATTTTCTATCCCAACAACAACAAGGAAAAAAAGTTTATTTTGTATATTGCATAAATCAGCTGTAGAAAAATTTTTCTGTCCAGGTTAATTACATAAAGAGATGATTAGTATGATCATAATCTATAATGATTTTCTTGTAATTACGAATATTATTATGTTATATCCATCATGCGTACTACTGAGGAGTCCTACAATAGGACGGAACGGTGGTCCAGTGCTTCCAGGTTTTTCATGGTGGTCTAGCTTCAATTGACTCATGATCTCAACTGTTGAAATTACTACAATATCCATAAAACCCTTCCAATATAAATGGAATATATAACTGATTTATTTATTTGAATCTTATTTCTTATTCCGTGTATTTTATAACAATCTCCTTTGTTTGTTTGTTTGTTTTTGTCATAGTTCTAATTTATCCGATGCAGATATTCTACCTAGTTTAGAGAATTCTTTGAATATGCAACAATTTATGCCTAGTTCTCCAGTTGATGAATTTAAGAAACTAAAAAATTCCGGATCTCATTTAACACATTCACCTAATAAGGAATATTTTGGAAGTAGAAATTCTGTAAGTTGCACTATTTTTTTATTGTTTTGTCTATCGGTAAAACTTTGAACCCTTAAATTAAATGGTTCTTATTCGATTGTTATAAAGAAGTTATACTATTCAGTCTCTGACAATTCAGATAAGAGATAATGCTCAGTAGCATGATTGTTGCCAGAGTTTTCTGCTTTATCTAAAGTTAAACTTTTGTAAACTTCAAACTATCTTGAAATATCCAACCTGAACAAACTTCCAAGTATCTGGGATTGAGTTATGAATTACAACAAAATATGACGTAACATGTAATATTTAATTGGTTTGGTGTTTTCCCCTACTGAGCACTTAATTTCACCTTTGAATTAATCATTAATCTTGTGACAATAAAATGCTTTTAATAGAATTATCTTAAACACTTCTATTTAAAATCGACTAAATTTGTTTTCTATCTTTCTGTGATGAAGATCATGATATCAAAAAGTATCCATTGACGTAGACTGACATTTTTGCGGTATCATCTTTAACCTCTGAGCAATTAGTAGTGGCCAGTAGGCACAGTTCCGCATATGTATACAAACTACTAATCTAGTGAACTTGGATTGACAAGTCTTATTCGAATTTTTAACAACTATGGCTTATTAAAGTGTGATAAATTGTACTCAACAGTCCAGTTGGTTTAATAAACTATCAATATTTCTAACCATTCGTTGTCCGATGCCATTATCATCGATAGGATTTCAGCTTCTCAATTTACTGGATATAGAAAAATAAGGGGATTGTTGAATTGGTTAAACTAATAATTTTCTCACCGATCTCGATCTTAAATGAGAATAGATCTTGGAAAATGTAACAACTGAGATTTTTATACTACTCTTTATACTTATAAATTTCAGTGGGGAACGAACATCAATCGTACCTGAATTCTATGGGTTCATAAATGTTAAGAATTGTCTTCTGTTGCTTACAAACTGAAAATAACAATCTCACGTTTTTGAAAAAGGAATGCTTGTAATCCTATCATGTTAACGGAATGTAAACTAGCATAGAAGTAGAATGACGAGATAATGATTATGAAAAGAAACTTGTAGGAATCATTTATACAGTTATTACATGTAGAAAAATGTCTTCGAAATAGAAACTTACTGTTATATAGTACATAATTTCAACCACAAAAAGGTAGACTGATCGAAGTTGCAAGTTAAATAAAGCTTAGATGTATAAAAAAAGCCCTTAACAATAAACTTATAAATATGAGCATGAAATGCGATAATGCCCAACTAAATATATCAGGACAACAAAAGATGAATAACAGATTATCTCATCTGCAGTCCCCTGTATTTTTGTATCCATCTTCTCCAGCATTTCCTATTTAGGCGTACAGGTGTGTTTCTGTTGTCTAATAATTTTTTGTTCTGTCTCTTAATTAGATTATTTCTGCTGAATCTACTATGTTGGATGATCAGTCGTCAATACATGAACATAAAGTGCATCTTTCTACATCTTCAAATAATATCAATAACAGAAGTGTCTCATCCTCTGTTGAAATAATTCATAAGTCAATTAGTGATAAACATGATAGTTCAAGTAGTGGTCGTGGTCGTAGTTTAACAGTTACACAAACAGTTCCCTTTCAATCTAATACATCACCTCTTTCAAGTCTTCTTGAATTACATACTTTTCCAGATTCACGTAATACAACTCATAAGTATCCTATAGAGCATAATAATTCCTATTTTTCTCAGAAATCTTTAAACAAACATTTATCTAATGAGAAAATCAATAATAGTTATGATTCTATTCATACAAGTAGTATATTAGCTTGGAATGAAGAGAATATTAAATATAATAAGAAAATAAATAAAAATGAATTACATGATGGATCATTAGATGAATTAACATCAATTTTATCAACCAGTTTGGTATCTAATAAGGAAAAAAATTCAATTGAAATATCTGATCATTGTCCAACTACTTCGGATATTTTCAATGAAATTAATGACTTTGCTTGTATACTTGAAAAACGACTAAATTATTTAAGGTGAGTAAATGATCATTATTTCTATTTTCATTATTGTTATTATAATATAATTATACAATGGGTAGTAAATGTTTACAACATTTTCTCAACTGTGATAACTTAGTTTTCCTGTTTACTGACAGAAAAAGATAAGACTGGAGTTTTTCACTTAATGTTCCAGTCAGAGACGTTATCATAAAGCTAGTTGGTTGCTCAGTATGCTAATTTTCATGACATTCGTCTGATGATATAAGAAGATAATTTAAGGACATTCAATTATATGTAATTGTACAATATAACTTAATATAAATATGCACTATTAGTATGTGGTCTGGGATACTGTCTGTGTGCTTAAACTGAAGCAGGTGGTTTCATCAAGATGCCACTCTCTAAACCTTTGATCTAAGGGTCTAGTTCACAAGCTAGTAGGACAACATCAGGGACTGCAGACACATGGTAACCGGTGACGGTAATTGGGTTCACATGCAATTTGTACACTCACGATTCTGGGGCCTTTATACACCGTTGGTTGGGAATCAAGGTTTTGAAACTTCCCCAGGTGAATCCTCCCTACCCATCAACTCGGTTTAGGCTCCAGGCGTTCAGTTTTCATCCTCTCACTTTCGTAAATAATTTCCACTCACCGCAAGAAGATAGTTAGTAGGACTGCCTTGTAAATGCAGTCATGTTGTGGTGTATGCCGCCAGATATAAGTAGTATGTAACACAATTCAAAAGTGGAATGCCTGGCATCAAATAAAAAAAATCGAGTTCAAGAGAACAGAAAGTAATTGTAGTAACCGAAGTAAGATGTACAAATAATGTATTTAATATATAGTTTTCATATTTTACGAAAGATCTCTGTAATTTTGCATTAAACAATAAATTGGTTATTCCCACCGAGTAATTATTCGTTACAATATGAAAGCATTTTGAGAGGGAGAGTTGATTCTTGGACCTCTAGCCCTACCAGAGCATTTTTAGAATAATAAACGAAAGGGGCGTTAATATAGTCGACTTTTAAGTGAAAATAAAGCATGCATAGGTCTGAATTATTTCTGTGTTTGAAAGTTATTTAAAGGCAAATGTATTGTTTCAGATTGATCAACAATAACGTTTCTGACCTCAGTACTCCGTGAAGCGCATTCCTTTCTCGGTAAAAGGACATGGATTATTTCAAGGTTCTAAACGTAGCTTGGTTATGAGTACTGCCAGTTTCAAAACTATTTCAGATATTATGACTTTTGAACATTTGGCACCACAGCACGTTACAACACAACTCATTAACCGACTTTCATTTCTTTTTTGATATTTCAGTAGGTAATGAGTGGTGAAGCTTCACTGTTGTTGCTACTCTATGAACGAGTACGTCGCAAGTGTTATCAAAACTAAATCACTCGACTAGGTAGTTAAGTTTGCACCCATAGCAACGAAGGATATAAGTATAAATCTCAGGGACATTACATATATCTTAAGGATTTTAACTATGTCTTGGTTACAGGTAATACTAAGAAAAACAAGTACATGTAAATCTACTCACTAGAAGATACCATCAAAGTGTTTTATTTTCACTTATTCGTCTTGCTTGAGCATTAGCCTGCTTATGACATTGCACTGCAGAATTAAGATTCTTTGTTAAATACAAGTTGTTGCATCCCTAACCCTGTGGATGAGGCTCGAGAAACGTTGCTTAGCAACTTACTACATTAATGATCTTGAAACCGTCAAGAGGTTCAGAGTCTTGTACAAAGTATAAGTCTGATAGCACATCAGTGCCAAGGAAAAATTATTCACAGAAAACATGACAACATTTCAAAGGCATAAATTCAGAGGGAGTCAAAAGGTGTATCTATTAAGGCATTCACCTCTAATTTGTTTTTCATGAATAACTTTAGCCAGTATCACTTACAAGTCTGGAATTTTTCATATTGCATTAACTACTTCCGTGCTATCTCATCATATTATGTTCTTTGTTTTGAAGGGACTCGTTCACTGCTCAGAACTTAAGATTAGCTGAAACTATGATTGTGACTACGCTTATCACACTACTATATGTTATTTATAATCCTCAGACATTACCAACAGACCGGTCGAATTAAATATATATCCAGACAGATCGACTAGTTAACAACAACTTTATTTATGGGTATAATAAAATCAATAACTAATGGATATATATATATATATATATATATATATATATATATATGTAGAGAGAGAGAGAGACGTTGTCTGATCAGTGTTGTATAATTGTTATTGTTAACTACTCAAGAGTAACAAGACGTCTAATTGCCTTATATTTTCTTATTGGACACTACTTCTTCGAATTGTGCCTGCTAGCTAACGGATTATAATGACATAACGAAGTCGTGTGAATTGTTTGCTTTCAGTTAATAAATTAAAGATTTTTATGGGGAAATTGATTTCATAAAAACCAGAAATTAGTGAATAATGAGTTGTTATGTTAACAAAATCTATATGAAATGTAACTATATAGCTGCCGCTTGGTATCAAATTGTACACCTTGTTTATTTAAAGTTTATGGTATTCTGTCTTCGAACAATTCAACCCTATTAAAATTGCGGTTTAGTATTTAGTCTTGTGGTATGCCTTGGTCATACCTATTCGTAATTTGAATCCGTATGATCTCATTATTTAATAGGCTTTTTTTGTCTTTCTGTTTTACAGATCTGTTTATTTTCGGGCACATTCGGAAGCTGAAGCATTGGCTGGTTTAGTTCAATTGGTCACATCGAAAAGTTTAAATATTATTGAACCTATGAACAACAGTCAAGTAAATGACAACAACAATAATAGTATATTGAAAAATAATCCACTTAATGTACATGTGAACCATTTGCATTTAGAGTCTTTATTAGTTAAAGCAATTGATCGTATTGACCAACTGTTGGAAAAATACATTACTCCTTGTTCAGAAGTAATTCAAAATACTCGTATCAATTGTATGGATTCTGAAATATGTTTACATCCTAAATCAAAAAACGTTGACAACTTTTCGACAAATAAAACCTACTTTCATTCAAAGAATTCTATTTCATCTAAGTTCAGTTCATTGTATGATGATAGCTTTTCGGATGTAGAGTTGAAAAAGTTATTGGATCTCAAACATGAGTATGTTCAATATTATGCTTATTTTTATATGATCACATTTTTAACATTTAATATGATTCTTTCTTTTGGATAGATATTACTAAGTTGCTGATGTATCTTAATCACATTATTGTATAGTCAATTAGATAGACTGTAACAGTGGATACATGTAAAACAAACGATGTATCATATGAATACATAAAGCTATATTATAACAAGATGTTTACCTTGTCTCATCATTGCATAAGGTATATCTCATAGTATTAAAATTTATTGACAATAAATAATTCTCAATAGATTTTCTCTGAATTAAGTAGAAGTGTCTTTTAAAATTTGATACTTCACTTTCCGATCTGATAGACTCAGTCAATCAGTCAGCTACAACGTAGAACCAGGCACATATATGCATCGATCCAAGTTGCAATTACCTCATTAGCACAACAAGATGAACACCAAGTTCATAGAAGTAGTTAATTCAATAGTGATGATATATAAAAGAAAGAATTGGTTCGTAGAATGAAAGATATGAAGCGATTTTAATCTTATAGTTTAAAGGAAAACAGAAAGTGTATACACTTACACCATTGTGATCGATTCTGAGCCATGTCACCCAAAGTCTTCAACCATTGGTTTCATACAATAAATTGATATCAAAATAAAGAAATCAAATAATTAAATGAAAAAAGTAGATATGATGAAAGTAAGGTTAAATTATCAATTTTGGGATGCATTGTTTGCCTATAATCAATAATCATCCATTAAATTGTGTATGTAAAATCATGTGAACTCTAACAAGGAAATTTTATATTCTCTTCCCACGCATCTGCCACTGTATTTGTTATTTATTGGTTGAAATAAATGGTAGTTATGATCCACATGTTATTACATTACCTTTTTTTATCTACTATTCTAAGTGTTACACTAAACACAAGAGATAATCTTGAAATGTATGGAATTATTTAGCCAACTTTATCTGAATTTTCTTTTCAATTAACATCTAAGTACAATTTTTAGCAAATTAATTTTAACAATCGATTTACCAGTTGAGTTGGATGTAAACAGCATCGCGCATACGGGAACTAATGATTTAACTCACCCACACCAGCTGAAATAGATTTGATAGGTTCGGGTTCAAGATTGTGTAGTTGGTAGTTGAATATTTGGAACAATTGAAATACAAATCCACTTAAGATAGTTATTAAATGCACTAACCAAATATTTTTCTTTTGATCGCATGAAATATCTCATGTTCAAAAGTCTCACCATCATCATGATCACTAGGATATGAGAACATCCCTTCATATCTTATATAATAGCATTCATGCTCTACATATAACATTTAGTCGTTACCTAAATGCTATATATGTTTGTTTGATCAAGGCTAATTGTTTTTGTTTAGATAATGCAAATCGGTAATAAAGTCGATAATCTTCATCGATTGAAGTAGTTAGAACATATGTATGCCTAACCACTGCTCCTACATCAACAGCCGATGCTTGATAGTGCAGGATTAAGTTAAAGAAAGCTAAGAGAGGATAAACCAAAACCTCGCAACCGTCCATAAAGTCACTGAGTTTTGATCCAATCCATATAGGTTTTTAATCACTGCCTTTTATGGTTCACATAATAAGAGCTATCAATGATTGCGGACTGTATGACAACTTAAAACCGTTCATAATGCGGCAGACACATTCGTTTTTTGTCTTCCTCTTGATCTTGAATTCCAGTATCCTTTCATACATACCTTTCCACTTTGTCTTTGCAAACCAAATTCCTAAATTTTAGTTTTTAGTTCTCACTGCTACTATATTATTTCAATCTCGTTCTTTTTACTTTCATCTCGTCGTGTTAATGTAGTATTGCACTTTGAGCCAACAAATCTTTGGAGAGATGTATTTTGGTGATTTTTGTCCATATAGTTGAGTTAGTTATATTTCCTATTTCTACATCTCAATTAAACTGTCCTTTAATAAATTATTCTGCAACGAATTTTTTCTTATCATACTGGTGTTGAAAATCCACCTTGTGTGTGTTTGTCTATACACTATTTCCTTAAAACAAAACAGTTGAACAGATAAGACAACCTATACAGTCATATAAATAAATAGTTAAATGTATAATTATGCACACACATATATATCTAGTGTATGAACCGGTTCCTGTGAACATTTTTATATTTGGTTAAGACTGAGATAATCAATACAATTAAGAGATTTCTCCCTAATCTCTCTAACTGTTACACAATCATAGTAGTAGTAGTAGTTGTTGTTGTTGTTGTTGTTATAGTCTAGGTAAAACTATTAAGGTCAAGAAAAATCGATGAATAGAAGTGGAAAAAACCTCACCACCTCATTTCAATCAATTCTCGAATAAAAACCGATTAGTTATTTGTTACTATAAATAAACCATATGATGTGTTAGATACACTATACACATAATGTAAGTAAAATGTTAATTTAACTATTATCTAAAATAAAAATAGAATAACTGTACAACTAGGACAATGAATTCATATGATGGAACAAGTAAAACGAGAAGCACGACAACTGATGGTAACATTAATTAATAACAAATTGGAAGAGATGTGTTTGTCAGAAGAAAAAGAAGTTGTTACTATTTATGATAATACATGTATGCTGGTTCTGGTTCTTGATTTGTCTCATCTTACGAACAATATGTGTAATAAAGTTGATTGCATGTAGAGTTGATAGACTTACAGAACAGTTTCATGTTCTTCGTCTGTTGTTATTGTTTTCTTTTAAAAACAATCTAGTTTAATCTTTTGTACCTCACTTAACCGTTATTTCTGTTTCTCTAACTGTTTTATTTATTACATATAAAGATTTCATCAAATCAAATTTAATAGTTGAGATTATGAGTCAATTGAAGCTAGATCACTATGGAAGTCCTGTAGGCACTGGACGGCCGTTTCGTCTTATTGTGGGACTCCTCAGCAGTGCCTGTCCACCATCCTGCCTCTCGAGATTCGATGCCAGGACCTATGAGCCCAGTGGTTTAGAGATTAAGCGTTCGCGCGCTGAGGAGTCCCACAACAGGATGAAACGGTCGTCCAGTGCTTCAAGGTTTTCCATGATTGTCTAGCTTCAATTGACTCGTGATCTCAACTATTAAAATTACTATAATATCCACAAAAACCTCTTCTGATATTAATCAAATTTTATTTGATATAATGTCCAGTTATAATTTTCATAATATTTTGTCGATAACAAATAGATCATTCTATATGCCTTAAATCATCTTAAATTTTACCGTATATGTATTAATTAGAGAATTATGTCTTATTTACTAGGGAAGTTCATGGTGGTCGAAATTCTCAGTATGATCATGAAAATTATTGATTTGTTACTGAAATGCACGTTTCCTTATAGTTCATCACTTAGTTTTGGCCTAATAGTTAACAAATTTCTCTTGGTTATATTTACAACATTTATTTGATTTCGATAATGTAATAAGAAGACGGAGATTATCTTATTACATTATCGAAATTTATAAAAGGGACTAATTGCTTTAAATTTATTTGATTCATATATTTTACTACATACTATAATATATTTTGGAAATAATTTACATATGCGTTCTAACTTCCTACTGTATGACGAACATTTATCTCTTGAGGCTAATCGTTATCAACACAGACTTCTATTTCAAATCGGCATAGATAACTTCACCAAAAATTATCTGTTGAACTCATTCTCTAAGGCAACTTTATCGCTGCATATTTACAGCTCTATCATCTCCCCATGTTCACCCTTAGTTCTATCCATCTGTTTTGACATTATCTTTCACTCAATGACTCTACCATATTTCTAGAGTGTTTGATTGTGTTAGCGGAATATAGATTGGATTAAAGCATGTTCCGTTCAGGATTTTGTGTTGCATGCTGGTTGGCTATTTTTTATCTAATCAGTGCTAACCGATACTTGAAGAACACTCTAGAATCTTCTCATGTAAAATCTATGAAAACACTGACGTTTCTCTTATTGTTATTCCTACTTCCATCTACCCTAGTTATTTGGAATATAATTTTGTGCCTGTTCAACTGTGTTCTCATTTGGGGACTTGTCAAGTGAATTGGTATCCAAGAATACTAAGCAATAGGATTAGCTGGGCTGTAATAATAGAGAATTATAACAGATTAGTAGTAGATTTTTCTTCAAATTGCTTTCTTTTTCATATAATTTATCTTGTTACATATTATTTCCACTGATTCTTTATGAACTATTTCCTTGGAAAAATTAACGACTACCATAACATGATAAGCAAAGATGGGTAGTGACTAGCAGTGGACACACGTTTCGTCATACTTGGGACTCGAACCCAGTATCGTCCGTTTTAATAAGAGACTGATCAATTGTAGTCTTAAACATCAATAGGAAGATTCAAGTGAATTTAGACTACCATAACAGTTTATCATTTAATAGAACTGATCAATTGGTCATATAAAAAAATCCCATAATAAATTTATTTTTATTATTACCAATGTCATCCTTTTATTGTTTTTTTTTTCTTTCAGATACATGATGAAAGCCTTCCAATTATGCTTAGATCAACTTCGTTTATTGAATGAATAATTCTATTGTTGCTTCAATGCTATCATTGTTCCAAAGTATCTTTTATTCTTTATTATTATAATTATTGTCTCCAGTATTAATCATGTGTAGTATGCCTGACATGTCATTATGATCGGTTGATGTATTTTAAGAGATAGCATTTAATCAATCTCTTCCATCAATTCTTCTTTTTTATACTCTTTTTAATTTACTGTTATTATGATTAAGATCTATTCACATTAACATAATACCATTTCTTTGCTTATTTCTTTACATCTCAGATATTGACACTTAGATATTCTGTGTACTATGTCCTCATGCAATTGTTGTTTACTTTCTTTCTTTTATTTTCTCAAAATGCTGTTGTCATGTTTGATTTTATTCAGATATGATATTGTATACGTATACAAATCTTTTATCTTTACAATTATGAATGTTTAGACCTTTTAAGATGTTTCTCTCATCAGCGATGTAAGGTACGTTTAAAAAGTTTAAACATACAATTTATCCTCTTGTTTGATTAATGCTTATCTTATAACTGTTTATCTCTTTATTCAACCATCAATTTTAACGACCGTGCCACTGACCACACATGAAATACATATATTTCTTCCTGAAATACTAGTAGGATCATGATTCCGTTAAGTTCCTGTCAAAATATCAGTCTTGGTATTGGATACATCATATTAGCACAAGTAATCGAATTTTAATGAGTGCCTTGTTACCATCTAATCAATAATAATAATAATCACTTTATCCATTTTAAGAATGACCACATTAAGTAAATTTTAAATTAACAATATCTCAACTTTACCAAAAAATTGAAATTAACTTTTCAGATATTGTCACTGTTAGCTACAGGAAAGGGACGTGTGAAATGTACTTACCCAAAATTAACTGTTCAATATTCTGGTCAAAATGTACATTTAAGTAGAAACTACTGTATCCAACTGAGTTTATTTGATTTTAACCATCTTCTTTAGTTGTCCAGACCTAAATATAATAACAAAGATTTTGGGTAACGAGTCAATCACTAAGAATTGATTACTTGAATCACTTGGTTATTAGTTCTTCAACTAAGATGGACGACGTTTGATTTTCTCATAAACTGAGGATGACTTATTTACTGTGTTAAATTTATAAAGTTTAATTAGTCTCGGATATTTGAAACAAGTCACTGGTAATTCCTAAACCTAGGTGTTGTTTTCGTTTATACTTGTAATGAAACCTACCTTAAATTAATACTCTCTTAGTTTCACCCTGCAAATGTAGACTTTCTGTCCATACCACGTGAATTGTTTTAGTAGTCCGTAGGAGAGAACAAACGGGAGTGGTTTGTGTTTCTGTATTGATAAAAAAAATAGAACGTAATTTTCAATTCTTTCCATTTAATAACCGAAATTTTCAACCTGGCTGTAGTACATTCTCGACAAATTGACATAATGATCAACCACTTATTGTCGGTTTTCCGTACACTAGTATAAACTTATTAACTGATGACAAGTAAATTACAACTAACAATTTCATTTACATATTGATGCTCTAGAGACTAAATTATACTATCCCTAATTGAACAGTTGGGAAATTTGAATGAAGATAGTTTTCATAATAAACAAATATGCTGGAAAGAAAAATCATTAAGACCAGTTCGTATTAACCCATTAAAGAATTACACAATCGACTTATCTGAAACAATTCGACAGGTTTATTGTTCAATAATTGAACTAATGTGATCTGAAGATTAGTCAGTTTGTATTCATCTCCTAGGAATCATTGAAGGTTCTTTCTTTTTTGGCTAGACTATAATTTATGGACAACCTTTGAACGAATCTTATGTCACCTTGAGAAGTATTAGCCAATCAGAAAACAGTATATAGTAAAATTATACAAAACCAAAGAATTAAAGTGGATGCACTACTTTTACATGGTTCAAAAAGTTGTCAAGGTTAGAAAGAGGTTCTAAGATCGTAACGAATACAGTAGAGGAAATCATCCATGATAAAGTCGCAAAAACTCTTCCAGCCTCGATCACATAGCTTCAGTACCTTTTGTGTGCACTCCGGTAGTTAGGTCCATAAAAGGCCACTTGTGGATAACGACACGATGCACATAAACAATTCTATGTAGCCATCTGTAATCTTTCCAAACACTAGCAGGGAACTCCGAACCAGAATTCCATCACCTGAACTACATTTATCATCATTCAGATATACAACACCTGGTGTTGATGAGTTAGTCGCAAGTACTTTGTCGGTGTTAGAATCCTTGAACCGTTTTCAACTGTGTTGAATTAATTCTATTTCCAAAAGATAACAATCACCACTGTAAGTTGTCATTAACAATTATGTTTGCTGGAACGATTAAGATTTCTTTGATATTCGTCATTCGACTTTTTTAAAATCATATCGTCAGGGTATCTTCAGTATGTTATGTGATATTCTATGTCCAGGAGTTCTCACGAACTCAATGATCTCCTCTGATCTAGAATAAACTAATTAAACTTTACAAACCCGAAATAAGGATATCAGAGCTACTCCGGATTAAGTATTCCTGCAAGAACTTAAATTGAATGGTTAAGAGTTGATCAAAAACATCATGATAATTTCCAAACATTGTATCTCAAGTATATATTCACATCCTTATTTTACATTGGGATTATATTTTCTATTATCCTATAGTAAATGGTAAAAATCCTGTGTTTGAACTGGGAAACTTCCGCACCAGCTACCCCAGTTCCAGTATCAAATAAAAATATACGGCAACCACTAACCTGACTTCTTTGATATATTAGAGGGTAACTACCAAGCCCTTGAATTTTTTTCAGCACAAGTAACGTATAAGGCTTAATTCTGCCACCTATAAATGATATTGAAAACCATCAGAATTTGTAGTTTTCGCGTGTTTTTTTTGTAGTGAAGGATGAGTGATCGTCAAATGACCCATCAACCTTTTACAAGGTCTGTTTTATGAGGAAGGGATTAGTCGAATACGGTATCTTCAGATTTTTAGAAAAGTAATACGAAATTTAAGATGTATTGAGGAAAGACTTAGAACAATACACTCCTGCACATCATGTCACTTATTCAGGATCTGAGAAATAGTAAAAGACAATTCACTACGAATTATCCCCTTTATTCTTCACAAATCGGAAACCAATTGAGTTTTAAAGCCTTTGATGAAACAAGCTTAACGCTTTTTTAAAACAGTCGAGAAATTCTAGCAGACGAATTTATTCAACAGAAACTTCCAAAGTGTGTTTGGACAAAAGAGAGAAGTTGTAGTACTTTGGGGTCTGAATTCAGATATATGTAGGTGTATGCTATGAATGGTTGACATATAAAATATGTAACAGTAGTCAAATCGGTTTGCTTAAGAAGAATATTTAGAATTGTTTCATTCAACTCAGGTGGAGTTCGGCCAGCCATAGTAAAATCCACAGAATAATCTATTTTAATAGAAATTACATCATATTTTGATAAATCAATTGACTAGATGAATGTAAACGTGACTGTTATTGTGATATGCGTTACACTAGTATGACGTAACAACCTTGGGTATAATTAGACCTGTAGTTATTTTAGTTGAAATTTGATTTGCCCGGGGAATTATTAACCGATGCAAACGCCTCATTAGATTCCAGATTTAGGTTTGTGTAGTAAGGGCAACTAACTCTTTCCTGGGCATTCTTCTCTAGTTCTATCCAATCGTTGTTCGTTCTTCCCATATCTATCTCCATTTCTCGGTGTAATGTATTCTTTAATCTTCCTCCACTCCTTTGGCCTTAAGGATTCCCTGTAAGGGCATGCCTTGTCATACAGTCGGGTGCTATCCTCAGTGGGTGTTCTATTCACTTCCAGCACTTCTTCCTGATTCCGTCCTCCGCTGAAATCCGGTTTGTTCTCTCCCACAGAAGATTGTTGTTGATAGTGTCTCGCCAATGAATCCGAGGTATTTTGCGTAGAGAACTGTTAATAAACACTTGTATCTTCTGTTTGATTGCTTTCGTAGTTCTCCAAGTTTCTACCCTATATAGTAGAACTGTCTTAACATTTGTATTGAAAATTCTGAATTCGGTTTGAGTTGACAGACAGTTGTTTTGAGTTCCACATGTTCTTCAGTCGTAGGTATGCTGCTCTTGCTTTTCCGATTCGCGAATTCACATCTGCATCAGATCCACCGTGTTCATCAATGATGCTGCCCGTAATGTAAAGGGTTTTTATCTACCAAATCTTTTCCATCAACTGTGATTCGATTGATTCATGACGTGTTGTGTTGGAGAATCTTGCTTTTCCCTTTATATGTTGAGACCTACTGCTGCGGATACACTGGTCATCTCCTGCATTTGTCGATGCGTATGCGATAGAAGAGCCAGAGCATTTAACTGCACTCAACATATGAATTTATGGTGAGTTACTGGTCGAAAGGTTGCTCTACAGATATTCTACTAGAACTGTAAACGCGATACTGGCGAACCCAGAGTTTATATGAATTAAGCTATAGTCAGAACAACGATAATTGGGCTTCAAACCTAATCTGTTTTTAAACGCAAAAACAACTTGATTAGTACAACAATTAGAGGACGTATTGTTACGGGAGAACTGAAGACATTTGGCTGATTAAAAACTTTATATTAAATATCATTAATTTCACTGGTTTTTGGATGTATTTGTTTTACTTAACTTCTGAACTTGTTTGTTTATATCATTATTTCGGACATTCTTTGGTTTCTGTTTGTCTTTGGCTTGGTAATTGGAAGTTTTTTGCTCCGGGAACCTATAAAATTGAAGGTTTGTTTTGTAGTTATTATAATTATTGTTGTTGTTAGAACGACACTTGGTCGACTATTTGTGAATTGCGAATAAACTTGGTACCAAATTTGGTTTTGGTTCTGTTGTTAATTTGGGTTCGTAAATTACAAATAGATCGACATACTTACTTACTTACTTACGCCTGTTACTCCCAATGGAGCATAGGCCGCCGACCAGCATTCTCCAACCCACTCTGTCCTGGGCCTTCTTTTC